ACAGTGATTTAATAACCCTCTATAGAAATGGACAAAAAATTTTCCATTTTAAGTTTAGAGATCTCTTGTCAACTTGCAAGGGCAATCTTGAGAGTACATGTATTTCTTATTAAAGTTAATTAACGTTGCTTGTAAAAACTGTGTTTTAACAGTACTGTAATACTATAAATATCTGTATTGTAGATTCAGTAATAGACCCTATTCATAAATGGCTGCCAATTGAAAATTCTTTTGTAAGTATTAAAATTAGCCCAATTAGCCTCGTTTTTGAGTTGGTAATTCAAAAGAATTTTTACTCTCAAACGAGGTTAGTTGCGCTAATTTAAATGCATACAAAAGAATTTTAAACTGGCAGCCATTTATGAATAGGGTCTATAATTTAATGGCAAGTAGTTTAATCTGTAATTTTAAACTTTCATTTCATAATTAATTGCAATTGATGAAAATTGTATTGATAAAAAATTCTTAAGTGTATTGGTTATAAATGTATATAATGTTAACTGCATTCTTGGCCAAGACATTTTACTCCGACTCATACATGTATAAAGGCCTCTTTCCACCCAAGGTGTATAAACGGGTACCAGTAACTTTAATGCTTATGCTGGGGGTAACCCTGTGATAGACTAGCGTCCATTGTAAGGGGAGTCTGATGGTTTTATGCTACAGAAGCCAGAGAGAAGCACAGGATACGCAGACTCAAACTTACTTACAACACGTGTACAGCATCAAAGATGTGTTTTAGTAATACAGGTAATAATCACCTGGTTTTTGTTTCACTCCAAACACCTCTGCTCTCAAACACACACCACCATGGTGAGTTCCTGGCAAAAATCGCAAATACCTCGCTAAAACACCTGCATTAAGAATGTGCTTAATCTCTGAGTTTCTGTCTTCATTTCCCTTCAGAGACTGAAATTAAAAAAGTAGGAAACAATAAGTTTCAATTATGTAACAAATTGATTTTCTTTTAGTAAGTTAGATGGCTCACCAAAACTATCTTTATTTTAAAATCATATTTTAAAATAATTATAGTCACAGAGCAATAGTACAACTTTGTATCAGCTAGTGAACATATTGCATGCAAACATAAATAATTACATGTAACTGCAGAAAAGTCTGAGTCATTTCCTTATGTATGAAAATATAATGATTCATTTCACACATTACCTTAACTTGTCCAATTTCTGTGTAATCTGTCCACTTTGACCTATCTATGGATGATTGTAGAGTGTAGTTCTTCACCCACTGATTTGCTTGAGAATTCCCTTGAGTGGCTACAGCACAGATGATATGAAGTGTTTGTAGATCAATCTGTAGATATGGATTACTGTCACTTGTTCCTGCACACCATGATGATCCTGAGTTCAGTCGACCATTCTTGGCTGCTGTGTTAACATTTTTTTCAGATGAAGCTGTTAGTTTACTGTCTGGAATTGATCCAGTTTCCATACCAAGATCCAAATAATTACAGTATCCTGCAGTTAAAAATAAGTTGTGTAGCACTTGAGAGAAAAGTTAATGCACTTCCTTGTAGTATAAGAAACATCACACTGTCTCATGAAACATGGTTGTCACAGACATCACTTTTCAAAATTCCCTCACTTTTCTCTGATCAAAATAAAGTCTCCCTGACCAAATAAATACAAAATGTCAGATCTACATGCAGTAGCAGTTTCTTGCCTTAACTTACAGCCCTTCTTTACACTTAATCATTAAGACTGATAAGTAATGTCAACAAATTTTCCTTCTTCATTAAGTAAAAATATCACTGAGATCACAGTTACCCCAAAATATTTAATGGTCCTTCCAGCCGTCAATGGAATCAGCTGTGTTATATTATTTCAATTTTCCCTGACTTTTCTTCACATTGTCAATTTTCCCTGACCCCAAATGAAATTGCCCGACCCTTTCAAAACCTTGAAGAATTTTTGTTTCCCTGACCATTTCCTGACCAGTGACAACCATGTAAAATATGAGTACAGCTCCTCGGAGTCCGACCAAAAAACAGAGGCTACAGTCAAACCTCCACATGTTGCCACCCTATTGTAAAGTCCATCTTGCTACAATGGCCAGAAAATTTCTTCCTAACCATGCACTAATCTATACACTTCACTCTTGTTGAAGCCATGGCCAGCTCTCTGTATTGTCAGTTAACACTGCCCCAGGGAAGGAGGCCAGGGTGCATTCTGCACGACTTCCATGCGGAAGATTTGCTAAGGCTTTTTAAATTCAACGCCAAAGATTGCAGCTCCGTTGCTCACTTTTAGTGGCTTAGCTACAACAAAAAAAATACCTCTGGCACCCCGCATACTAAGCGGCCAAGTCACATGTCGCTCTGCTCAAATAATCCCAATTTTCTTTCTATTACGTTCACTGGAAAGCTTTGGACTCAAACCGATTGTGCAAGATACCCGTTATTGGCCAGGATATACAGTATTCAATATGAAATAAAATGGGGGATAAAGAGAAGTTAACAAGCCACAGTTATCTCATCAATTCACCTTGCGTAGTTAAGCATTTATAACCCACCACCAGCAGGGTCCGAAATTAACTTTTTAAGGCAGGCGCCAACTGGCAACTGAAAATTTTTTTTCAGTCGCCATAGGGAAAAATTTGGTCGCCAAAAAGTGTCAATAAGATTTTTCCTTCGCAGCAAAATACAAACCAAAATTTTTGGTAGCCAGATGGAAAATTCTGGTCGCCAATTTTTCTTTTAAGAATCAGAACGAAGAGAATGCGTTTGGGGCCTCAGTGTCGATTTTTCCGCTAACGAATAAGATTAAATACAAACACGCTGATTATTTATACACCTACCACTGAAAAACCACGACGAACAAATCGAATGCTGGCCACATACGCAGTTTCATGTGACTGCCAAATGTTTCAAGTCAACTTTATACCTTTTCTTGTCTCTACCTTTTGGAGAAGAAATGTACCCAACCGAAAAACTGGCGTTTGGTTCTTTGCTCTATGTTCAAAACGATCTTTCCTTTAGCGTTCTGTCAAGACCACCCATGAAAATTCGTCTCTCCATTGGGGGTAGAAACTTGCATTTAGCTGACGACTTTTTGATTGGATGGTTTCCTTCCCCGTCCATATCAGCACATTTTTCCGTTCTTGCCAGCAAAATATTTGCAACGGATGTCATCAGGAATCAAACCAGTGCTGAAATCATCTTTTGACCACTTTGACAGATGCCCAGAGAATATCAAAATCTTCAACTAATCTCTCTGCGGATGTTCCG